GCCGGGGAGGGAGCCGCGCGGCCGGTCCGGGCGGCAGCGCCCGGCCGGGGCGCTGGGAGGAGGCCGGGAGCTGCCGGCACTTGGCTGGAGATGAAAGCCGGATGAGACAGCGAGACGCAGGCAAGATGCCCAGGGCCAGCGTGGAGAAGGGGACAACATCAGGGAGGCATCCCGGTGCAGGGCGCATGGGAGCCAGGATGGGGCACGCACCAGGGATTGGGCTGTATGTGGTCAAAACAGCTCCCTGCCTCCTTTTCAGAGGGGAAACTGAGGCACGGAGGGTGGTGGGGCCGGTTCCTCACCTCCACCAAGCAGTCGCCCACCAACCCGAGGAGCAGGCGGGCGCCGTGCTGCTCCCGCACCAGCGCCGCGTTCTCCGAGCGCGTCATGCACGTGAAGTCGAACATGTCGACGTCCGGCTCGTCCCGGTGGTTGCGGGCGAACTCCAGCTGGGGCAGGCAGTAGTTGGTGGAGAAGTTGGCCGCTTCCTTGGCGTAGTTCAGGAGGGCTTCCCGGTTGACGTTGTCCGGTGCCAGGAGGCTCTCCGTGTCCGGCTTGTCCTGCGGGGATGGGATGAAGGTGACTGGCCTGTCCCCATGGCCCAGGGTTGCCCGTCCATCCACTCTCTGCATCCCGGCTCCGAGCAGGACGCTGCTCCTCACCTGGAGTATGACACCCATCTTGAGCAGGCTCTGCTTCTTGGCCGTCATAACGAAGTAGTGAGTGTCGTCCTTGTAGTAGACGATGTTTTCCAAGTCGATACCTGGTGTCCAGGTGGGAGCCTCGCTGAGCCCAGCAGCACTGAGAGCCCCCGGTGCCAGATCAGCCCCCAAACGTCCCTTGTCCCAGGTCTACATAGGGCATCGTGCAGGGATGCCGCACTCCCACCATCCCGAGGGAGACATCCCAGCACAGGGACGAGCATCCAGCAGGGCAGAGGCCCCCAGTCCCACCCCAAGGGTCCCGCGCGGGGCCTGGCCACCGACCCGTCTTGTTGTAGAGGTTCTGGAAGAAGCTCTGGTTGTAGATGCGGGCGACGCCGCTGATCTCGGCCACCTCCACCTCGGCCTGGCTGTGCCGGTTCACGAAGTTGGTGGTGATGCCGATGGCCAGTTTGCCGCGCGTCTCCTTGCGCCCGAA